GTCTTAAAATCCCAAATCACTCTGTATTTTGTTAAGTCTTGTGTAGACTTTTGTATAGAACCTGTTAAGTTATAGTCATCATACTATAGTTGAGCAGCTTCTGATATCACTGTGGTTAAAGGAAAAAACTACAGGTTAACAGTATTCAATTCAAGTTTCACCAAACTGCTATTTAAAATAGCCTAAAAAGGTAGGATGAAATTATATATCTTTGGTTTATATGTTTGCTAGCATGTGCCTTTTCCTCTAAAACTCAGAAATTTAATGGTCTGATTGGTTCATCCAGTCCCTCATCAAAGACTGGTATATTTGCCTAGTTTTACAAATTCTAGCATTATTTCATAAGTCTAGTTTTTATAGTAGCACTGTCAAAGATTTAGATTACCTCTTTACTTAGGTCTTCCAAGTAGGTTTCTGTCTTTCTACCTAGTTCTTGTGATTTACATAACCTAAGAACATATCTCAGGTTCACATCATTTAGTACTAGTTTATGTTCCTTTGTACAATGTTGTATGAGTGCCTAGACTTTCCAGTCATGCTAGTATAACATAAGTTACAGATATCTTATGCTAACCAATTACAGAAAACAGTTAACCATAATACAGAAAGAATTGCAAATTTTTACTATCACTGAAATTTGAACTCTAAATTGTTTACTTGGAGGTTAATAACCTATTCACTTCACTAAGTCACTATATTTCAAAATTTTCTTTTTTAAGTTATATTACTTGCAGAAATAAGTATACATCTGTAATATTATATAATAGTTATTTAAATTTTTGTTATTGATAGATTTTGAACTTACAATCTACCATATTTTTCAGTGCAAGGTACCTTCCTTAATCAGCACTCTCTTAATTTGTACTATGTATATTTTAAGGTCATTCAATATGAATTTTGTAAGAAACCCAGATACAAATTAAAGACTATGTAAATTCTACCAATTTTTTTTTTTTTTGCTAATGCAAATCTTTTTTTTGTTTTAAATTTTGTCATATAAATATTATATATCATTTTTGTAATTGGTATAAAATTAATGAACTTAATAATTTATTTCTGTAAAGAAAAAATAATTTATAAAAACTATTTAATAAATGTAATAACTTATTTAATAAACTATTTTTTTTTTTAATATTAAAGATTATATAATAAATTACAATAATAAAAATTATAAGCATCACAAATTTATGAAATTATATTAAACTTTGGGTTCTAAATTCAAGTTATTTAGTCATGATGAGTTCATTTAAAATTTTAATAAATTTACAATTGTATAGTTGTAAGATTATTTAACCCATTGATTCACAAAATTGTCTACTTCATTTTGAGTATAGTAAGATTCAAGTTCTATCTCTTAGAACAAGTATTGTGGGCTATAAGATTTTGTTGGAACAGAAAATATTGTTGGTGTTGTTGGAATAGAAGGTGTTGTTAGGATGGAAGGTGTTGTTGAAATGGAAGATGTTGTTGGAACAGAAGGTGTTGTTAAAATAGAAAGTGTTGTTAAAATGAAAGATGTTATTGAAATAAAAGGTGTTGTTAAGAAGAGTAAAGCAAAAAGTCTTGGTTTGTTTTGCTATTACTAAAAACTAATTCTTTACTTTCAACTTCATAGTTTTCAACTTGATCATAATTAAAAATTAAATTATTCTTTGATCTATCACTTAAAACTGAGATATTATAACATTTAAAAGATCATCTGATAAGTTGAAGATCAATAGCATTTTATAAATGTTGAACCTATTCTGCAATAACATCATATAATGAATGTTTGATTTAACTAGCTAGTATTAATTCTTTTATTTCTTGTGTCATCTATTTATTATACATAAACCTGATCTATTAATAAATATACAGTTGGCATGTTTAAAGGTTTTTTTAAAAAATTAAAAAAAAATTTATATAATAATAATACTTTTGCTTTAAAAAATTTGTTAATCAATATATCAATTGGTTATAGTTTCAAAGTTAACTTTTCAGAAATAATTGTGATGTTAGTATTTTTTTTAAATGATTATTTTTAATAGAAGAACCAAATAACTCTGAAAGAATTCATTACTAGTAGTAATTATAGGTTCATAGTATATAGTATTCAATTATTCCAAATTGCATCTGTCCAGTATATCATTTCTGTTTCATTTATCCATTCTTTTTTATTTACTCTAACAATTACATTAGATGAAAACTGAAGCCTTGGAACATTCTTTAGTTTAAAAATAATTATTGATAGTAACTTATTACTATCTGCCATATATGCAAGTACAACAGTAAAACAAGATTTTTCATAACCACAAGTCCTAATGCTAACAGTTTACTTTCTATATTATTAATGGTTATATTATTTGGCATATCAAAAGCAAGAGGTTCTTATCTATATTACCTATTAATTGTAATGAATAATTATACTAAAGATGGTAATATTGAATGAAATTTAAAAATTCTTGTTATTGTGCTTTTAAATCTGTAGATAGGTGTTTTGCAACAGTTGTTTTACAATGATTACTAAAATTATAATATTGTAAAAAACCTGTAAGCCATTTATTATTCTATCTAAACTGATCAATATTGAGATATTAAGAAATATATTGCTGAGATTTTACTAAAGTTGTCACTTTAATCTGCATCATGCTATGACTAATGATTTTAATTCATTATATTAAATATGAATCCAATTAGTAAGTTCAATTTTAAGGTTGGGATAATTATGCTTTGCTCTACTATTAAGACACTTTACATGCAGTTGGCTCATTATTAGTTCTTTTTGATTGTTTTGCTAATCTCTAATTTGCTTCTGTTCAATTTTAAAAAGATTAACTATTTCATAAACAGTAGCACCTGAAGCTCTTTTTAGGTAGGTAATTGCAAAAGGCTTTTCTTGGGCAGTCAATTGGTAGTTTTATGTTAGCAAACTACAGTTAAAATATTTTCTAAAAACATTGTCAAAGTTTTTAGAATAGTTTTTTTTAAGGTTTTTTTTTTTTTACTAGTAAAAAAATTTTTTTTCAAAAAAAAACATTTTTAATACTTAAATACATAATATAACTTGTTTTTAAAAATAAATAAAAAGATACAAAACCATTTTTTAAAAAAAAAATTGTGAACCTGATTTTTTTTTAAAAAAAAATAAAACCACTTTAAAAAAATAAAATAAAATAAAACTTTAAAAAAAAACAATCTTTCAGGTACCATTTTACCCTTTGTAATGTCTATGATAATACATTATATTAAATTAAATTTTTGAGATGTATCATTGCTAAATTTAAACTATTTAAAGTACCTTTAAACTTCATAAAGCAAAAGCAATAAAAAAAAAGCCCAGGTATTTTACAAGCCAGTCATTTCCACTTAATATACCTTCTTATACAAGATCTCCTATATAATATACCCTGTGCTGCACAATATATCTGAGGTATAAATTAAGATTTGTTGTCATGTAAAATGTAAAATACCCAGGTACCTTGTACCAAAAAATACAGTACTACTTAAAAGATTGACAACCTATTCACTTTATTATGTTAACATATCTTCTATTTTTTCTTATTATAAATATTTTTATAAGTAGTATTTAAATTAATATAATTTTGTTATTATCTAATAAAATATTTGTAATTGTTGTTCATTGTACTTAGTATTTTAATTTTAAAATTAAAAAATACTACTAATCTTATTAATCTTAACTTATTTTTTTTATTAATAATATTAAGTTTATTTTTGTTTCTTTTTTCATATATTTTTTTATCTATTATATTCTTATTTTGTATATTATATAAATAGCTTTTTTTTTTTAAAGTAGAGTAACTCTTTCTGCAGATCACTTATACCAAATTTTTGCTAAAAACATTTAATTATTTCTAATTATTTTATTAAGT